TTTCCCCACAGCAATCACACTTAAATAAAGAAGCCGTTGTTGGGGCTGTACAGTATCAGCACTATACTAGTTTACAAAACAGCATCCCGAATGACTTTTATTTACTATGGAGTTTTACTCTGTCTTGAAAAATGAGTAGTGCTATGTGTTGGTACTACTGCCTGAACTATCAAAGGACTTTTCAGGCAGCAAATCTGAGCACGTGAGCCATGGCCAGTGATCAAAACTGTACCTGCACTGCCTTGTCCACACATACTGGGCTTGCCTGCCACAGTTTCATAGCTGGGAAGCTACAGAGGTGGCTTCTATGAGAAGCTTCTGGAAACTTTCCCCATGTCCAACAGAGACAATGCCACCTGGTTCCAAGATGGACCGGCCGCTGGCCAAGACCAAGCCCATCAGCAGTGATACATCAGCAATGATGTATCTGGGATAACAGATTTAAAAAGGGAAAAGAAGTTACTGCATAATGGCAACTGCAGAGAGAAGAGTGAGAATAAGTGAGAGAAACAGCTCTGCAGACACCAAGGTCGGTGAAGAAGGGGGAGGACGAGGAAGAGGTACATCAGGCACTAGGTCAGAGATTCCCCTGCAGTCTGTAGGGAAGACCATGGTGAGGCAGACTGTCCCCCTGCAGCCCATGGAGGTCCACAGGGAGCAGATATCCACTTGCAGCCTGTGGAGAACTCCATACCAGAGGTGGATGCCCAACAGAAGCTGTGACCCCATGGGAAGCAGGCTCCTGGCAGGACCTGTGGAGGCAGGAGCCTGCACTGCAGCAGATCTGCTGGCAGGACTTGTGTCCCTGCAGGGACCCACACTGGAGCAGTCTGTTGCTGAAGGACTGGACCTGTGGGAAGGATTCACATTGGAGAAATTCATGGAGGACTGTCTCCTGTGGGAAGAACTTCAGGCTGGAGCAGGAGCAGAGTGTGAGGAGGAAAGAGTGGTAGAGAAAATGTGTGATTAACTGACCACAGCCCCCACTCCCTGTCTCCCTGCATTGCTGGTGGGGAGAAGGTAGAGAATTTGAGAGTGAAGTTAAGCCCAGAATGGAGGGTGGGATGAGGGAAAGGTGTTTTTAAGATTTGATTTTATTTCTCTTTACTCCACTCTGATTTGCCTGGTAATAAATTAATTTCCCCAATTTCAGTCTGCTTTACCCATGACAGTAATTAGTGAGTGTCTCTCCCTGTCCTTATCTCAACCCACCAGCCTTTTGCTGTATTTTCTCTCCCCTGTCCAGCTGAGGGGGGGAATGACAGAATGGCTTTGGTGAGCACCTGGCATCCAGCCAAGGTGAACCCACCACACCACACATCTGAGCTACTAAGTCAGGCTACCACACCTGAAACTGTGTTAAATATACTAGTTAAAATATTTAGGCTTTACACTGAAAGTACAGGAAAACAGTATTTCAGCTACTTTGTAGTCTGGATTCGTGACCATGGTCACTCTCAATAGCAAACTTCTCATCCTGTCATCAAAGACAGGATGTGGCAAGAGAGGAAATAAAGAAAAAGAATACTCCAAGATACAGGCAAAGAAATCACTAAACACAATCCACACGAGTAATACAGAATTCCTGAATAGTAAGTAGGCAGTGGGTTCACATTTTTTTTCTCAATAACACTATTGTTTCTCAGGTTCCTTCTACTGTACTCAAGTACAGATTAACATCAAGCCAGAAAAGTATTTAGCCTTTGGCATTTTGGAAGGAATTTTGGTCAAAATAAAACATTCTACATATAAACTTGTGTGGAAACCAATACATCAATAGAAAGAATAAATAAATTACAGGTTATATCATAAAGACAGGTGATAACTCTAGAAATAACAAGAAGAAAGATAATTCTATAAGGAAACCTGCAGCTTCCAGATGCCTGTGCATGTTCTAGATTTCCTGAATCTCATAGCAAATTTAAGTCTTTAGGAACTCTCAGCACAAACTACTGCCCTTTCATCACCTTATCCTTTGTCTCCCTGTCCTGTATCTGGGAGAATGAAGCCAAAGTCTGGGCATGCCAAAGCAGCTCTGAAGATCTCATGATCCTGCCCTTGCACAAAATCCTTCTTCATATAAACAGGGTCTTCATCTCCTGGCTTCTGATATTTTTTTATCCAGTCCCTTTCTGATTTGTGGCATTCTTTTCCTGAAAACCAGTTTTTATGCTACAATACATTCACATGTTGTTAGAACAGAGGAGCACCTCAGAGAAGAACAATCTGCTCAGGTCTCATGGAAAATACACAAAATGAGTGCAGCCAGGAATTCAACCTGAGTTAAAGACAGTTTCACAGTCTTATGTGAGTTTTCTTTCCTCAACTGCTGTACTCATACCCTATCAATCAGGATGCTGGATCACTCAAGCTTTCCTTGTGTCACCAATTTCACATCATCTTTTTGTGGATTTACCCATAGGCTTCCTTGTGACAGAGGATGAAATTCATCTCACTTGATGTTAGATATCTATCAATTATTGATATCTACACATAACCAGTCACTCAGGGTTTCCTTCGTAAGATACTCTCTTAATGGAGAGAAATAGATGGTTTTAGGGTGCAATTCGCTTGGCCTGTTTTCTGTACTCACATTAGGAAAGGATGAACTGCACCACACAAGACCTAACCTCAATTTAGGTAGATGAATCCCACTGGGATTCCTCACTGATTCCTCACTGGGCCTTGCAGTCCAGCTGAACTTGCCTCCTGCAAGTCTGGAGCTGACTGCAATGGGAATTCCTCATTAAAGACATTCACTTCAAAAGCTCCAAATTTGATGGCACTTTGCTTCTCACTTCTCCCAGAACACGTGCTAGCTGAAGCATGTACTATACACAACTTGCACAGAAAGGTCCTAAAATCATACACTGCTTTAGCATGGTAGATGCCTGTGTCAACTCCGTTAGATCTTTCCACAGCCTTAAATAAACATTATTTGTGGATGCATTTTTATACTTTTAAGTCAGATGCTGCCTTACTGCAGTTTTATTCATTTCTGTCAGAGATAATGAACAAGCACTTCTATTTCCTTTGTAAAATCATTCTTCCATCCCATCCCTCATTTAACACATCTGAGAAACTACTTTGGTGATCATGAAGGAGTATCATCATTTGGTTAGTGAGACTCCATTAAACTTTCTAACTAAACAAGCATACCTTTTCCAGAGTCCATATCATGTAGGAACTGAGATAAAAGCTTAAGCTATCTATAGTTTAGGTAAATACAATGCTGACTGACAGATTAAACCACTGCTAGGGTGACCACCTAAGCAAAGACAGCTTTTTCTCCAGAATTATTTCATCAGCTCCTAGTCTGAGCTAACTATAAAGGCAGTCATAGAATATATTCGCCTCCCCATTCAGACTGGCATGTTGGCAAGTTCAGATGACCTCTCTATCCTAATTTCTCTGCCTTGAACTTAAAAGAAGGTGAAGGGTGATTGGTTTGAACTCAGACAGACACTGCTCTTCTAAATGTCTAAAGTGAAGTGAGGTGAATGTCACTAAATGGCTGTGGGTAGGAGAGGACCTCCATAGAATAGATTTGTTCCAGTTTACGTAAGGTGAAATGGAATACAAACAGATTTAATATCCTAGTTTTGGCACATGTGGAGCTCTATAGATGTTGTGCAAAACCTGTTAGGAGCCCAAAGCCCAGCGAACGTGCAGGCTGTCTTTGTGGCCCATGATTTGGGACATGATCAGGAAGGCGTGAGCGTAAGACTTCATCTGCAGTGTGGAAGGGTAGGACAGAGGCTCTCATCTCAACAATTCACCTACACAACAAATTGTCCCATTCACAGGGGAGAAAATATGAAGAAAGAAATCCAGGTCTCGTTCTGTACCACATTAAAAGAAAAAATCTGAAAGATAGAACAAACACTGTATTTGAAGTCATATCAGAAATTATAGAATCATAGTATAGTTTGGGTTGGAATCTTACATTAATCTTTCCAGAGCCTGTTCCAGAAGACACTCTTCTCTCACAATTTTTATTCAAAATCCTAATGCTACTACTTATCCCAATGGAAAATATAAAATGGAACAAAAGATACTCATCCTTCATGTCATGTGGGCTAAATCCCAAGAACATTGTCAGGCAAAGTAATGAATGCTCCCTTGCTTAAAGCAAGAGGATGTATGTACATTCCAACAAAAAGTATAATGTTTCCCCTGAGGTTCACTGAGGAATAAAGATAGCATTGATAACCATAGCAGGACTGGAGGTTAAGGTTTCTCTTAACTGTCCCAGATTTGCCTTGTTAACTGTACCATATATTCTACGTTACTACGAAATATGAGCTCTATATTCCTACAAAAGCACAAAGTAGGAACTATGGAATATATCGCTAGGAAAGAAAAAAGAAAAATAAAAAATTAAACCAAAACTCCCAAAAAACTGGACCAGAAAAAGCCTCATTACATGAGGTTTTGTCAGCTGAAAATTTTTGTTTTATTTTCCAGAAACTTGAAACCCACAATTCTACTTCTTCTACAGGACCAGAGACCAGATAGACAATAACTAAGATTTGTTATCAAAAATATACAAAAATAAAAAGCACTAAATGTGAGTCCTGACTCATGTTTCTAAACCCCTTGCCTCTATCATACTGTGTAACTAAATGAGATTTACCAGATGTCTGTAAACAGTGACGGAGACAAAGTCAGAAATCTTTTAGTCAAGAGACAGAAACAAATATCTTCTATCAAACAAACCTAATTTTCAACCCAAAGAGAAGGAAATTTTACTACATGTGAGCACAGTGAAAAAATTGTGCTAGTGTTGTCTAAGACAGTAACAAATATCAAGTGCAGAAATTGCAATCACGGACAAGGAGGGGATTTTTAAATCAGGTACAAGTGCAGTTAAGGGACATGGAGGAAGAGGAGGATCATCTCATATGAGGAACACCTGAACCTGCCAGAACCCTCAGGAAGCCTACAAAAAACCACCAGGCACAGCAAATTCCTCCCATCACTATCAAAAATACCAAATATAGGTGTTTCAAAGTAAAGCTCTAAGCTTCTTTATTAATTGTCATGTTCTGTGATTGCAAGTTGTTGCAGCCTGCAGCAGAGCTAGGATGTGGGGTACACCTCTCTCTGAGCTGCTCCTTCTGCCACAGTTTTCATTCACTTAAAACAGAAGCCAAAGATGGTCATGGAAAAAGCACATGAACCAAATCCACCAGATTTCGAATATTTGCATGCAGCTGAAGAAACATTGTAAAATGTAATTTCTTCTCTGAATCCCTGTGAGGTATCAACTTCAGTATTTGATAGACATTTTAAAAAGTGTATGTAACCATATCTGTAGGGGCAGAGAAGTTTCCCAGTTGCAGAGAAGGAACTTTGTAACTAAAACATAAAGTCTTAGAAAGATGTGAAAGTAGTCTGGATTTGCATCCTAGCAGGGGGTTCATCTTGAGGGAAGAAGCTGATAGAAAAATAAATGGAAATGTTTGATGGCAAGAATAAATCTAGAAAGCGGCAAAAAGAAAAAGATTATGTAAAGAAGATACAGCTGAATGAAAAATGTCTGAATATTGTGTGACAAGCAATAAAGCAGCAACTCTTGCAGTTATTTTCGCAGAACCTGCCAAATCACATCAGAAATCTGCATCAAGCCTGCAAAATCAAACAGAAAGAAGTTTAAAAATACCAGAATTAAGTTTATCTCTTCATTTTATCCTCTTCTTCCCCATAAGACCCTAGGCCTTACTCAGTGTTGAAGCAGCATCCAAGGCTTTGTGACCTGCAGTGCTGGGACACAGAACTACAGAATATGCTGAATTGGAAGGGACCCACAAGGATCAAGTCCAACCCTTACCCTTGCACAGGACCATCCCCAAGAGTCACACCACATGCCTGAGAGTATCATCCAAACACTTCTTGAACTCTGTCAGGTTTAGTGCTGTGGTCACTTCCTTGGGGAGCCAACCACCAATCCAAATCCCTTACCAAACAAAACTGAGATTTCTTCTCAGTATCAATGCTATCATTTAGTATTTCGGTGTACCAAAAAATTTCTATTTAACATCACAAAACCTCTGAAAAGGGAATTGCTGTTACAGGTAATATTATCCTTAGCTTAAAAATAGAAATTTCAGACACTACCACAGCTCGTACTTGTCATATATTCATGTGCCTGGATACTCCTGCTAAAACTCAGACACTTTGAGAGTGACCCACACCCTTTCCTGGCCCTCAAAAAATCCAGTGGCAGAGAGGACCAAATCTCCAGAACAGCACTGAGTGGGTAAGGCCAGACCACTGCATAAGAGCAGTCTCAGGGCCACGTCCTGGCCCCCCAGCTGAGCAGCACCAGCTGGCTGGTGTCTGCACTGTGTGGGGCTGTTCCCTCCATAGCAAACGTACCTTGTCTCTCAGGGTGCCGGTGAACAAGCCAAGTAGATAGTCAGAGGTCTGATATCCAAGTTTGCTCCATGACTTTCTTTTATTCAGCAGTATGAAAAAGGCCAGAAAGTAAACAGTCATTCTTTCTTTTGCCCCTCTGATCACACCTGCAGGAAATTAATACCTCCCTAACTCATTCCCAAAGAACCATTAATGTCTTTTATGAATAATTAAAAGCTTTTTGTAAAAAATATGTATTTATTTTTTATATCAAACATGCAAAAGTACATATGAGAAGTCAAAAGCAACCATTTTAACGTTTCCTTCTGTCCTTGAGTACTCAAGCGTGTAGTCTTGATGTTTGTTCAAAAGCTTAAAAAATATTTAGGAAAAATAGTAATATAAGCAGTTATACTATCCCTTATCTGTCTTATTAGTAGGATCTAAGTAACACTACCACTACCTCTGTTTGTACTAATAGGATATTCATCTGTAGTGAGTGCTCCTTCTATCAGACAAGTAATTCAACATCAAGGCTTGATGTGAGGCTGTGATTAGAAAATGACCAGTGACACCTTTTTGTGAATAGATGAAAAACGCTGAGCAGAGAAGTAAGGAGCTGCTTTACTGGTGCGTTTTGCACTGGTGACATCAATACTGAAAGTCCTTTTTCTGTATATTGTTCTGGTATCAGTATATTAAAAAGGCTACAAAAAAACTTACCTGAAAACAGGAGAAAATGTCTTAAAATGAAAGTCTCAGAGTTTGATTTCTTCAGCTTATCAAAACAAAGTTGGGTGCTGACTTGACAGTTTCGTGATGACCAAATGCCATGTACCATGAAGATCTCTGATCTAAGAGAGAGAAGGTTTAACAGAGGGCAGGTCCAAATAAAAGGAATATATTTTAAACAATTGCAACAAATTACCAAGGACAATTAATAAACTTTCTGCTTCTTCATGGCTTCAAATCAAAACCGGGTGCCCTCCTTAAAAATACGCTTCAGAAAAATCCAAGTGATTTTTCCCAACTTATAAGTAAATAAAGGATCAGTAGGAAATACATGAATGGTAAAGACTAGGTGACGTTAATTACCACAGTTCCTGTACTCGAAGGTATTCCTTTGCCTTTATGGGAAGTAAAGTAGTTTCAGCCATCTGCTGAATTTTGACCTGCGCTCCAGATTTTGGCAAAAAGTAATCTCTAATCCTTCTGTCTCTGTCGCCCTCCCCGTACTCTTGAGAGACTCCCTCGCTCCCTGCCCCTACCCTCCCAGTCATCCCGCTTCTCATCGAACAGTTTCACTTTCGCTTCTCTCTTCCCTCCCGTCATCGACAGTGGGAGATGGCAAGGGGCAGAGAAGGGACCGGAAAAGAAGCTTGCTGCTTTGTTTTACCATCCTTAATAAAAAAGGTAAACTTCAAAGAGCTAAAACGGGAAACTGGAAAGCAGGCAACGGTTCGTCATGAGCGACACGCTCGGTATCGGCTCAACAAAGGATTCCGCGGCTCTCCACAAGCCCTGGGAGCAGAGGCCGCTGGGCTGCTACAGCAGCAGCATCCGCTCGCCACCTCCCGATCATGGAGAGAAAAAGAAGGGAGGCTCTTCTGCCGAAACCCGGGATCGAACCAGGGACCTTTAGATCTTCAGTCTAACGCTCTCCCAACTGAGCTATTTCGGCTGCCGCGATTCCCGTTGTCGCGTGATAGGACTAATTTGTTCTTTCCCACCCGTCACCCGGCTGAGTTTATTGTACTTGGGGGTTTAAATCAAATAGATGTTATTCACTCTACAGTACTGGATAGCACAAACGAATCAATGAAGAGTCTTTGTCGTAAGCCAAATTAAAATGCAACAGTAACACAAAACTACCCGTATATACATCTGTGCACCACACATAACCTACACGTGTTTACTATCAAAACAATGGTGTTTTGGCTTTGGCTCCCTGGATCATTTGGGAGAGTAACAGAAACTACAACATTCTGTGGGATTTAGGAGCGTTAAATTAGCAGTATTTTAGCTTCAGTTTTCAGGGACTTTATTTTGAAGCCTGACAAATTCTGTGCAGAAATGACATATCACAAAGAGACTGGAATACAAGGGGTACTTGCACCATTTTTCCATGGTCTTGCTGGGAGTTGCATGTTCCACAGGAGAAACTCCATGTGTCTGCATAAATCAAAAATCCTAAGCACAGTTATAAGAAAAAAATAGTTTATGCTCACATTGTTGATTAGGCATTTATTTCAACAAGCAACTGCTATAACATTCCTGATACAAGCTAAAGGCAAGGGATATACCCAAGTGCCCACAACAGTGCACACTGCACTGGTACTGTATGTTCACCTCCCAGGTTTGTGTTTATTTGCACATCCCATGGCTCCAGAAAGAGCTACCCATAACAGCATCCTCTGTTCATGCTCCCTGCACACTGTGGGGGGAGAGGCTGCTTAGCAAGACTGTTCACTGCTGCTCCCTCATGTTAGTTAAAACAACAAAACAAAACAAAACAACAACCAAAAAAAAAACTAAAACTTTTTTTTTTACCTCTCTTCCACAATAATAGAGGAGTTCAACAAATTCCTCCTTTTTCAGGTGGGGAAAAACCAGCCTCTTCCCAAGCCAGCCATATGAATATCCAGTGACATAGACCCCTCTATTTCCTTTTACTTTCAGAGTGTATTTTTCCTCAAATTGTTCCACTTTTGGGAAGTATTTTGTGAGCAAACACCGTTCTCCAGGAGCTGATACATTTTCAAAAGTCAAAGACCTATTTTCAGAAGCAAAAAGGCTGAGGACCAGGCCAGCAGTTTCATGACTGAAAACAAAAACTCTTAACAAAAAAATTTCTATTAGGGAGGGGTTAAAAAAACCACCCACACCACTGTACTAAAGAGGTGTGCAAACAACATACTGATACAAAATCTCATCTTCTCGTGATTTTCCACTGCCACTGGCAATGACTGTTTTGCTGAGAAATTATGCATGTAATCCCTTAACAAGCATGTCTCCTACTGATGCAGCTAACACAACCTTGTGATCTTTGCTGCAGATAAGCTCCAAATGTGTCGTGGCATGCTTAGAAGTCAAAAACACTATTGACTTAAGAGTTTTCATACATTACCACAACAGAGCTACTACGGACCAATGGGTTATTCTGATATTTATTATTTTTAGAAACATTTGTTTTGCCAGGTAAAATGGAAATGGAAATAAAAACTTAAGGTAATACAAAACAAATGAAAAAAAAGAGTAGGACAGTTCAGTCCCAGATATAGAATATTTAACAGTCACCTTTTCCCCAGAAAGAATTCAGGGAGCAGTTTTGCATTAAAAGTTCCTCCTGAAAAGTAGAAAGATTTTTGCATTTCATGGCTACTTAAAGAGCATAAGAACACAGTTTTAGTAAAATGAAGCATTCTGAATCAAGAAACAAAAAAAAAAGCCCACAACATGTTTTTTTCACTCACAACCTTTCTCCTACCTCAAATAAAGTACAGGGTGGACAAATTAAAGATTTTTTCTAGTCCATCATATGATGACAGTGATGATTGGCCTCAACCACAGTGACACCCCTTCATGCCAATCAGCATAGAAATGTAAGCAAGTGCCAAGGTCAGACCAGAGAAAGCCTTGGAGAAAGTAAGAGTTATCTCCATTGCACAAACTGCAGCCAATACATACATACAAGGGCCCACAGGCCACAATTTGCAGAATAAGCTCTGGATGCCCCATCCCTGTAAGTGTTCAAGGCCAGGTTGGATGGGGCTTTGAGCAAGCTCATCCAGTGGAAGGTGCCCCTGCCTCTGGCAGGGGGGCTGGAACTAGATGGTCTTTGAGGTCCCTTCCAACCCAAACCACTCTGTGATTCTATGACTGCAGATGGCTGTCTCAGCTGCCCACTTCAATGTCTTCCCAATCCTTTCACTTGCTGCTGGTGAGGGAGGTACTGAATAGCAGGTGTGCTACACCAAAATAATGGGGTAGTAATGTTGGTTTTCCCCAACGCACAAGGGATTTCAGGAGCTGCTTCCCAAAGATCTGATCCAGCTCACAACATTAACCCCAAAAAGAGATGCAAACCCACAGCTGTACCCAAATAACTTCCCAAGTCCATGATGGAACCTGGATACAAAACTCTTGCCAAAGGCCAGTCTTATCCCTTAGAAAGTTTTAGTGATTTAAGTGACATACACGTTTACTCCATTTATTTTCTTAATTCGTGTAGCCTTTGTTCTGTGACACAAACCTTGAGAGAACGGAGTGAAAGATTACAGTGTTCACAGTATTTTACATCACTCCCCCTTTGTCATCTGCAGAAATGCTTCCCAGTAAAAACAGTGAGAAATAAAACCTAAAAGCATTACAATTCCCCACAGTGACAGTTCACTAGTTGATCCTTTGTTCCTTTCTTCCTATAGAAGCCAGAAGGTTAATGGCAAAATAAACTGTTTCCTCTGACAGGAAAAATACTTTTCTCTGTGAAAGAAATGGTCCTACCAGAGCACTCACCCACTAAGAAAACCTGATTTACAGCAAAGTAGTTCAAAGAAAAAGCCTCCTAGATTTTTTAAAAAATATATATTTAAAATGTGCATACATACATTTATATATATATATCTAAATAAAAGTAGGAATACTGAGCCAAAAATCTCAACCACTTGGAAGGATTAAATCTTCAAAACCTAAATAAACCGGAACAGCTTCCACTAAAAATTAATTGATCCTTTTGAAAAATCCACTCCTGGTAATATCACTTGATTGGATAGTGACATAAATATCAAAGCTTGCATCTTCAGCATCTAAATATTCAAAACAATTTTCAAAAGATCTATTCAATAAAACAATCACACTCTACTGCTTTCTTCTGTGCATTTCTGATAACACCATCATAAGTTAATTGATTTTTAGTGTTCCAAAGACACTGTACCTATTTTGAATGTTTAAAATAATTTCAAATTAAGGTTTGTGTAGGTTTTATATAGTAAGATTTTAGTAATCTGTAATCTCTCCTCCTAAAAACACATCACAACCAGTATTCCAGTACAAGCAGATGTGAAATATACAGACTTGTGTGCATCTAACCCAAAGCAGCTGCCACGGTAACCATAAATACAGCTAAAACAGATCTTTGCAGCACATCAGCTATTTCTGGTGGCTTTTGTAGAACACAAAACATGAACATGGATATTGTAAGGAAGGATGCATATTGTACGGAAGCCATATCTGAAGAAAAATACAAAAATTAAGAAAATATTTGAATGTCACCGGCAATGTGTTTGACAACGAAATTTAAGTGATTCATCCATCGAAGTGTATCTGGTAAACCAAGTATGCTAACAGAGCAACACATAGTAACTCCTGTAACCTCTGTCCTTCCCAAATGGAGGCTTTGACTTCCAAACCAAGTATATCAGAAATCCAAAAAATATAATTGCCACACAATTCAAGTGTAGCGTTATTATCCCAGTTTGTCACAGAAATGTCACCTTCAATAACACACTCCTAAAGTTTAGAACACATACTTGGCACTATGGTACACCTAGAAACAGCCTTTTTTCTAGAATGACTCTTGCCAAACAGAAGTGGCATTTTATCAAAAGCACCGTGCACCACCCAAGAGGTGTGATGACGTTGGGAGCACTTGTGTTTTAAGAGTTACCTCCCAATTTCTGAGACAATTTTGAAGTCACTGCAACTGCTGAGAACACCACAGCATCCCAGTCTTATGCTTCTTGCAGCTCTACCCAGGGGCCACAGAAGGATCTGGGACTGTGCCAAGTACAGAAGCTT